ATTTTCCACATTGTTGTAGGTCCTGCAGATAACAAAAATATATTTTATGAATGTTTTCAATGAAATTTTTACACTTAAATACTAATATTACATAATTGACATGTTATTGTAAACATACAAATCTAATAACTAAATTGATTAGTTGATTGCTTCTTATCATGGAAGTGATAACACTTAAAGAAAGATTCCTCTTAGAGATAGAGATAGATATAGAGGTAGAGACAGAGATAGAGAGAAAGGGGGAGAGAGAGAGAGAGAGAGAGAGAGAGAGAGAGAGAGAGAGAGAGAGAGAGATGGAGAGAGAGATGGGGGAATCATTGGTCTAGTTACGAGTATATATAGAAATACTTATATTTATCAGATCTGTATAAATATATTTGATATTATTAGGTTTGTCTACTAAGGCGATCTAGAAGGAAAAAAAGCCCTAGTAGGAATAAGCATTCCCAGATCGTAGATGTTGGTTTCTAAATATCACTTCTTACTAAAATGACCAAAGCTCCTTGAGAAATGACTGATTCAAGGCTTGATCAGGGGAAATAAAGAGAAACCTAGAATTTTCTCACACCAGGAAGCAAGGAAGTGCACAGAAAAGCAATGATAGGTAAAGCCCAGCTGGTGTGGCTCAATGGTTGAGCATTGACCTATGAACCAGGAGATCATGGTTCAATTTTTGGTCAGGACACATGCCTGGGTTGCCACCTTGATCCCCAGTAGGGGGTGTGCAGGAAGCAGCCAATAGATTATTCTCATCATTGATGTTTCTATTTATCTCTCCCTCTCCCTTCTCTCTGAAATTAATAAGAACATATTTTTAAAAAATGATGGGTAAAAATGATACTGGACACTCTGTATACTAGTATATGCCATTATACATTTGTCAAAACCCTAGAATGTGTAATACCAAGAGTGAACCCTTATGTAAACTATGAACTTTGTGTGATAATCATGTGTTATTATATGTTCACTAATTATAACAAACTAGAGGCTCGGTGCACGAAAATTTGTGCACTTGGGGAGGTTTTAAGAAC